TTAGGATATCCATCCTAGCAGCCGACAACTTAACACCTCCCAATTTTTTAGTGCCGACAGGTGTATCATTGACCTTGACTGGACGTGCACGAAAATACGAGTGAAGTTTGTGAGTGGAAATAATGATAAAAAATACTAGTTTTTCCATAATATGGTATCTGAGCTTAGTATGCCTTAAAGAAACAATTTGATGTAGTAAACCAGAAACTGCTTCTCTAGCTTCTCATAGACTAAAACTAAGTTGATGAATTCAGTTCCAACCACTATGCACGATGGAATTTCTTCATTTGGCTTTGCGCTACATAGGAGTGATGGTAATGCTAAGAAATCTTTCAACTTCTTGAATGCATGCCCGCGTTCTTCTGGCCAAACAAAGTTCTTTGCTCATCTTAAAGTTGTCAAAATGTTACACACTTATCACCCAATTTAGTGATGAACCAGCTTTTGCCTACAATCTGTAAGGTCAGCTTTTGCACTTCTTTGGTATTACAAGGGAGTGACATGTCAAGCAACACTTGAGCCTTCTCTAAATTGGCTTTTATCGTCCTCCTTGGTTAGATGATGGCATAAAAATTTGTCTATTGATGCCCAAAAGGTGCACTTAAGTGGGTTGAGCCTCATTTTATATTTTCTGAGAATTTCAAAGGTCTCTCTTAAGTATTTTATATGTTATTCATGCATTTTAATTTTTTCTTGCACATCATCCACATATAATTCAAAATTTATTCTCTTTCTTCTTAGACAATAATACATTTATCATCTATTGGTATGTAGCCCCAATAATTTTTAGCCTTAAAGGAGTTGCATTGTAATAATGTACAACCTCTCTAGTGATAAACAAGGCCATCTCTGAATTGGGTGCATCTTTATTTAGTGGTAGCTAGAGAACGCATTGAGGGAGCTGATTATTGATTGTCTAAATCCTTAAGTGCATTGATTTGAGATAGGGGGTAGTTGTCTTTCAGGTAGGTGGTGTTTAGATTTGTGAAGTCTACACACACTATTCACTTGTCGTTTGACTTTTTATCATCACCATGTTGGACACCCATATTTCTTGTACATAACCAACCTCGAGTACATTATGAACTCTCGCAAACTGACTCAGCTAAGGTGATGATTAAGGACCTCTCCTTTTGCTTCATTGGTCGAGCTGCTGGATTGAAATTTAGGCAATGGCAAGCAACGTCTATCAGTATCTCCAACATCTTGACTACAGACCAGACAAACAAGTCTCAGTGGTCTTGGAGGATCATGACTAGTGTATCCTTTGACCCTGCATTAGAGTTTCTTCATTGGAGAAAATTTATCAGGCATGCCTTCATTCATCAAAATTTGATAAGTGTCTCGCTGGTCTTGAAAAACCCCTCATGCAAAGTTCTTGACACTTCTAACTGCTCAAATATAACAGCTGTGGGATTGCTCATGGTTGACTTACTTAGACTGTGATCACTTTCCCATCGCTCAGAAATTTCACATCCATGTGGTATGTTGAGGTAACGCGTTGAAACAATTTCTTGGGGGTGAGTGAAAGTGACACTATAATTTGGTGGAATGTCCACCACCACCAAGTCCTTTATTTTTGTGAGTTGTTTATCTTTTCCACCAGGATAACTAGTAGGATAATAACCCCCAATGCTTTCTTCCTTCTACTAGAAAAGCAATGGAGTTGACCTAGTAATGCAGTCAGTCAGTCCTTTCTACAACCCATCTTATCGAACAATGTTTTAAACAAGATTGTTCACCAAGATACTGGTATTGATAAGAATGCTACCAATATGTAGTTGATGATCAATGTTATGATGATGATGACATCATTGTAAGGGTTCCCCATACGGGACATATTCTCATCGACGAAGGCGTTTTGTGGATGTAAGCTATGTCTGGGGGTGATGGCATCCATGCATAGTTCATCCAACCAATGGTTTTTCAATATGGCTCAGCTATATGAGTCTACTCATACTCTAAAGATAGCAAGAATTATGTCAGCAATATGGATTTTGTGAGCTCGTACTGACTTGTCCATAAGTTTCTTCACGTGTGCTTTCCTTTGCCTCTGGTTCATTGCTCTTGTAGCTAAAAACTCTTTCAATTTTATAGTCTCAATCTCTATGACCAGGCTTCAAAGGTGTTGACCTTCCTTTGTTTCATGGTCGTGGTGTTCATGAAAGACAAGTACTTATTTAGGTACGAGAGGTAATCTCGAATTTTCATTGGGAGTGAACTCTTGAATTACTTTTTAGTTTTGATTGATTTTAATATATTTTCCATCAAGACTCTCAATGGAGTTATTTTTGGTAGTTCATCGTAAGGCAGTGAGCACTCGTTGTATTGAGTAGACTGCGAATCCTATGATCTTAGGGGTGGTCGAGCATCTTCATATCATGGAAGAGCTGAAGAGTGTGAGTCATCTCTCAGTCTCCACCTATTGACGTAGGGAGCCCTCTATTGTGGGCAACAGTTTGAGGATTTTCCTCTAGAGAATGTGGGGATGGATTTATACTCCTTACTTGATATATGATTTTTGTTCATATCCAACAACTCAATCAATATCTTTGACCACTAATGACCTATATTGTTTCGAAAGGGTCCTTCTTCCAACCTTTAAGCTAGAGCTACATGAGCCACTATGGGCTCCAGATCTCGCACTTCCAACATCTCATTCTAGCAGCGGTTTATGAATGAGTGAAGGATCTCATAATGCCCTTGTCAAATCTACAAGAGGACCTACAAATTCTTTTGTGTTTATGTGCATTCTCAAACGGTATCGTAAAATTGTTTTGCATTCAGTGAACATTGTGATTACTTCACGTGACAATGTGTTAAACCACCCGAGGGTCGACTCTCTCGGTATGACGAATAAAATGTGACACTTCAAAGAATTGATGATCCTTAAT